CCGGCTAGCGACTTGAGGACCTTGTTGCGGCTCTGTACTTTATTGACAATAGCGGTTGTGTGCGCAGAGAAGGAGAGCAGGCTGTCGAATGTTACTCCGAGTATTTTAGGATTATTCACCGTCGGAATTGGTGTGTCATCAACGTGAATTCCTAGCGGTAGCCTGACCACCTTCGTCCAGGTTGTGAACAGGGTCGCAGAGGATTTCGTAGGGGAGAGGGCTAGACACTTTGCAGTGAAGAAGCGAGAAAGGTCAGAGAGATATCCGTTTACTTTCGAACACAAGTCATCAATTCCATTCCCAGTCGCCATGATCGAGCAATCGTCGGCGTAAGAGACAATCGAGACTCCCTCTGGTGGTTGAGGGAGCTTCGAAATGTAAAAGTTAAACAGTAGTGGGGAAAGGACACCACCCTGTGGAACCCCCTGTTTTATTTTTCTAAGTTTGCTCGATTTGTCTCTAAACATTACCGACGAGTGTCGACCACTCAGATAATTTGCCGACCACCGTTTGAGCCTCTGTGGGAGAGAGGAAGCCTCTATATCTTCTAGTAGCGTGGAATGGCTGACAGTGTCAAAAGCCTTTGACAGGTCCAACGCTACTAGAATCGTTCTCTCACAGGGACGTTTACAGTTAAGGCCACGAGTAATCTGAGTGTTTATGGTGTTAAGTGCTGTTGTTGTACTGTGCACTTTACGGAAGCCATGATGATGCTTCGCTGGGGTCAAGTGGTTTGTGAAGTACGGGAGTGGCAAGGCCTCGAGTGTCTTCGCTACCGGGGAAAGGAGTGTTATCGGACGATAAGAATCTCCTATGTTGGCGGGTTTCCCCGGTTTGAGCAGTGGGACCACTCTCGCCACCTTCCAGATGTCTGGGATGATGAGAGTGGCCATGGACAAGTTGAGGACCTCCGTTAGGTACGCTACCCCCGCAGGACCCAAATTGTTCAGCATCAGCATGCATATTCCGTCGGGACCCATGGCTTTGGAGGCTTTCGCCTTCCCGATGGCCACCTGAACTTCACCGCAAGTGAAAGCAAGGGGGGCACAAGTTGTTGGCAGTTTGTGCAGCCATCTGGTCACTCGGCGCTTGGCTTTGTCCACCGGTGGATGCAGTATGAACTGCCGGCTAAAATAGCTCGCGCATCGCTCCGGGCCCGACGAAGCATGGTCGCTGAAAGAAATTTCGACTCTGTCGTCGTGCTTCGTCGGATTGGACAGTGACCTCACGGTTGACCAAAGCTTACTCACACCAGAGGCGAAGTTACAGGTTTTCAAATGCTCCCCCCACTTCCGCTTATGTTCGTTTACTAGTTGCCGAATCTCCGCGTTGAGATCCCTAATACGGGGATCTCCGGGATCGGCTTGACGAAGGCTGTCGCGCTCATCGGCTTGAACAGCCGCTTCGGCAGGGAAGTTTGGATGTGGGTCCGTTATACATCCTGCCGGTATGAAGCGAGCTGCAGTAGCAGTGACAGCCCTGCGGAACTTACGTTCACCGAGATGGACGTCGGTTGGTGTGGGAAGCGCAGTGAAGGTGTTTTCAGTAAACTCCGCGTAACCTTTCCAATCAGCTTTAGAGAGGTTGATGTAGGTCCGGTGTTTAGCGGAGGCAAAGTCGGTTGGTTTATCTATCGAGATGACTATGGGTAGATGGTCTGATGCTAAAGTCAGCATAGGTCGCCATGTTATGCTGTTTATCAGACCAGCGCTGACTATGGTGATGTCTGGCGAGCTGCTGCAGTTACCCATAATCCTGGTGGGTGCGTCGTCGTTCATTGTGCAGAATGTCGAATCGTCTATCTGCTCAGCCAATTCTGTTTACCTACGATCGTTTGACAGGCTTGAATGCCAAAGATCGTGATGCGCATTAAAATCACCTACTGCCATACGGTTTTCACCTCTGAGGAGCGCACCTATATCAGGGTGATATCCTGCCGGGCAGCAGGTGACAGGGGGTATGTATATGTTAAATATTTCGAGCTCGACATCGCCTGACCGGATAGCAATGCCCTGACATTCTAGGGTGGTATCCCTGCGGTCGATGTCCGCTTCGATAAGACGATACTGCACGGTGTGGTGCGTGATGAACGCTAAGCCACCACCATTATCTCGCTCGCGATCTCGACGGTGCACGTTGTACCCGGCACAATTCAACAATGTTGAATTGCTATGCAACTTCGTCTCTTGGACCGCAGCTATCAATATACCATGCCGACACATAAAGACGGCTATCTCCTCAATCTTGCTCTGTAGCCCGTTGCAGTTAAATTGAAGGAGCTTCATGTGGTTCGGGAGACGTGTTGTTATGTGGGGTGTAAGGGATGTGTGTGTTCTTACTGCCGTTGGCTGTGTGCGCTGCTGTGATGGTTGCCGCCCTGTGGTGGTGGCGGGAGGCGTCGCAGTTGGGGTCTGCGACCGAGCAGCGCAACACGGGCCCTCGAAGTTCCTCCTCCAGTCTCGCGTGGTACCAGCCAAGGCAGATGTTGCACTTGACTGATGTCACATTACGGAATATCCTGGTCTGACATACCGTGCAGATTGTAGGAGGAACCAGGAGTTGTTGGCGGCGGCGTGTGGGTGGTGGTGCGGCTGTGTGTGTTCTATGGTCTGTCTGTGGTATGGTCTGTGGTGTTATTATGTTGTTGTGCTGTGGTGACTGTGTGAGGCTGCTCTGGTGGACTGAGGTTTGCCGTGGAGGCTGCTCTGTTTGAGCAGCAGGGGGCCACATACGACGTGGTCCACTGCCGATGTGTCCGTAGTCCTGAGCAGACTCTGAGGTGACACCACCCCTCGCAAGCATTGCACTTGACAGAGGTGGAGTTGTGGTGTAGTCGTCTCTGGCATACACAGCAGGTGTAGGTTTCTGGCCCTGGGTTTGACTCGATGCCAGCCCTGAGTAGGAGAAAACGTAGCGAATGTAGCCCTATGGTCGAACAACTTCTGAGATACTTCGCCGACCTAAACGGGGTTAGATCGCCGAAACAACAGCCCTTGGTCGGGTAAAACCCGAGTCATTCCGGTACGTAGAATCGGCTGTCGTGGGAATGACTTCTACCGCTTAGACTTTGTTGCTTTTTCAATTTTTCCTAATAAACAATCGTGGTACAAGGCTCAATAAAAATATTAAAAATAAAATGTTAACAAGCCACAATAACATTGACAAGTAACATAATACTTTAAAAAGCCAGCGTACTTGTTTTTAACAATGTTTTGGTACATAAATAAAATATAGTTCATAAAAAATAAAAGTGTTATTCATTTTAACATGAGTGTACACATCATTGTACATAGAAGCCAATAAATTATTTTGTATATATGACATTTTTGAGTAGCAATAATGAGATCATTTCCATCTTCAGAGTTTAAATAGTCAAAGAATTCTATACATTTCATTTTAATATTACTTCTAATATGAAGTTCACTTTAAATAATTTTTATCTGAAGCCAGTTTCTCTCTTTGCTCCAGGAAGCAAACCTCATACTTAGATCCTCTCAGTTGCTTCGTTTGAGTGTGGTATTGAAAAAAAACTACATATTTCTCAAACTGTGGAAAAGTACCACTAGTTAAGAACTTCATCTATAATTCCTCATGGCTTAAATTAATTTTTTCAACTACGGAAAAACTTTGAAAGACTAAGAATACGCTAAAAAGAGTATATAACTGTATATCTTGTATGCAAAACTCTTTTACAATGTCAGTAAATTGTGAAAAAATAGTTTTAAGTAATAGGCGAAAGCCATTCGAATATTCAAATTTGTTGTTATTAAACTGAGTTATTTTCGAGATAAGTAGCAACACGTCTGCCTTCTTTTTAAATAATTTAAGCTCCATCATACTGGTACGGCGATATGCCCATAAAACGATTGAACTTTTTGTTGCATTAATTTCTTGGACATATGAAACATTATCTAAAACATATCAACTATAATTAAATTATTTTCTTCTTACTTTTTACAGTACAGTTCAAAGAAGTTCCAACGTTATGTAAAAACCTTAAGAAAATCCTAAAGTGTTTTGTTTGAATTAAAAGTTCAGTACAAATCAGTACAAATTTTGAAAAATCAGGACATAGCGTACTGATTGAAGAAATGCATAAAATCAGTTCAAGAGTTGAAAAATCAGTACTGTACTGATAAAATCAGTACGTCTGGTAACCGTACCTTAAGACTATTGTAACTTTAGCGAGTAAGACCCGTTGGTTGTAAAACGCTATGCGCCATTTTCAAAAGAATAAAGAAGAACATTCGAATTTGGACACCGAGACCGACGGCCGCGTTTGATTTGTTATTTTGCCACCTGATATATTACATTATCAAGCTTGTTAATTGTATGATGAAATCTCCAAAACCGTAAATTTTGAAATGCTTCCCTTATTATTAATTAAAAGTGCGATATGAAGTCGTTGCTTGAGTTAATCTGCTCTTTTGCCAGAGTGCCAGGCCACAGGCTATAAGCTGAAAGTAAAAATATTTTCACTAAACATTCAAAAACTATAGCTCATACAATTTTTGGAACATCATAAGTAAGCACCTTACGAGGTAATCGATGTTTTCTTCAAATTTTTAGTACCAAAATCGTCATCATGACCAATGTCAATTTAATGAAATGTTTCTGTGTTCCATTAACATTTGTCGTGGATTTTTTACTATCAATTTTAGTGAAGAAAAAAATTGTTTACCAGGTTGAAGAAATTACTATTCGATTGTTAATTTTACTGGATCATTATTTCAATTCACTACCACTATTGTATAGTGAAGTTGACATATTGCAATTCACCACTAAACATCGACGGTGGTAGTGAAAAAGGTTACACTATCACAAGCTATTAATGAAAACTGAAAGTTTAGTCCACTATCAACTCTGATATGCACATATGTATGTATATAATTAAAAATTTTATTTTGAAATAATATATGTATATATGTATTTAAATACATCTCCTTTACAAATTCCAAAATTAGATGAACATTCAGCAACATCAACAGTTTCAAAAAAACATGCGGAACTCAGAATCGGTAACATCTTTTAATTCGAGCGGCACAAGCATAATAAGGAAAACTTTGCCAAGCACAGGAGCTTCTGTGCCAACTACAACAAGTGCAGCAACCAGCGATGGGACTTCACCTGGATTATTCACAAGATATAGACCGTTTTTAAAAAAAGACAAGGCCTTAATTAAAAAGGTCTTAGCCGGCATTAAAACTAAAAGACCAGACCATGTACAAACCGCATTACTACGTCGTCATCTACTTGAACTTACACAAAGTTTTATGATACCACTGGAACGTTATATAGCGTCATTAATGCCATTGCAAAAAGATATAAGTCCTTTCAAGTCAGCGCCGAATGCAAACACTTTTAAATTAGAAGATTTCTTGGCCACTATTGAACAGTCAGGACCACATCTAACATCACCTTTGAAGGGCGATTGGAAGGGTTTGTATCGGCGATTTTTCAACTCAGCTAATTTTCGTGGTTGGTACGATACCAGGCATCGAGAGCTACAGTTAACCTTACAGGATCTGCAACTTCAGGCGCTGTCTGTGGCTAACCTTGAGAAATGGGCGCAAGATAAGCAGGAAGTAGAAATTATTGATATGATATTAAAATTAAAACAAAAATTGAATCTCTACACTAATACTAGTAACAATAGCTCAACACAAGAGCAAATACGTGCTCAGATCACTTGTATGAAGGATTTACTGCCTAATGATTTAAAAAATTTAGTTAATATTTGATATGTAAGTGAAATGAAATCTTGAACTAACTACGACAATTGTGCAGATTTGTTTATTTTGAACGAAACAGAAGACATTAGAAGATTTTAAAACAAATTTTTTACATTAGTGGAATTCGCGCTTCTATGTATTCGTTGTATCTTGCGTAAATGTAACAGAATGCGCGTGTGATCTGTTGTTGCTGGTGGTACAATAAATACACGTGCAACAACAATCACACGCTCATCCAGTTGCTGTTGTGATTCTGCCTGTCCTGGGCGGAAGCTGTGGCACGGCAGGCATGGTGGTAGCCCAGCCGGAGCTCGTCGGTCTGTGGGTCAGGTTCTTGCCACTAACTCACGCCCGTAGTCACAAACAAAATTTGCATGCGTTTGTGTGGCATAACAAAAAAAGGGAGATAGATGCTGCGGTAGATCCGTCGTGTCAGGGGAGCCACCATCTGCTTACGTAATATAAGCAGCCTTGGGGCAAATTGGCAGGGATGGACGATCGGCTTCGTTGGTGCCACTTAGTAAATATGCAGACAGGACAGTTTGACTGACGCACTGATGTCAGGATAGGGGTCTTCGCCTTCGCGTCTGGAGCCATGGTGGAGTCCAAAACTGCTTATTTTACGTAAGCAGATGGGGTGGGATGGCTCCCCTGACAGGACGGATCTACCACTGCATCTATTTCCCTTTTTTTGTTATGCCACACAAAGGCATGCAAATTTTGTTTGTGACTGCGGGCGTGAGTTAGTGGCAAGAACCTGACCCGCAGACCGACGAGCTCCGGCTGGGCTACCACCATGCCTGCCGTGCCACAGCTTCCGCCCAGGACAGGCAGAATCACAATATTACACTTACGCAGGATACATCAAATACACAGAAGCGCGAATTCCGCTATTGTGAATAGAATTCGGTAATTTTTTTATTTTATCTGAAATGTTGATACTTCTCTCAATTTGGGTACGGTTTAGTTATTTGTACAACGATTTTGGGTTGCTGTGCCCAAACGCGTGACCCGAATCAAAAAACTTTGACACACTTCTAGACAAGATCTACACTTTGTTTAAAAAAATTTACTATATCTATGTACTAATTTATTAATAATTTCGGTTTGAATTATGGTATTTTTTGCGAATTTCTAAAATATGCGTACACTGATGACTCCTATTCTGCCTTAAAGCAGCCACTTTAATCTATTAATTTTTACCTCGGTTTTATTAGCTTGGGATGTAACTATGTAATAATGATGCGCCTAAAAGATGGAGCAGTTTCCATTACCAAGTTATATACCTAATGACAGCACGAATGGGAAATGATTTTAACTTCCATTTTAAAGGTACCTGATGACAGTACGGATAAAAATTCCAACGATTGATTTCGCATGTTATTCTATTCATTATATGTATACATAATAGTTTTAAAATGAATTGAATTTATGACTAAAAAGATAAAAATAAAATTATAGTTTAAAAAACTAAAAACACTGTTTATTACAATGTGAATTAAAAAGTAGAAAATACTTTACCTAATACCTTTACTTGTTTTAATTAAACTTTTAAGACCAACCTAAAATAGTGTTAAAGTAATTAGAGTAAGTAAGTAAAACAATAAAATTAAGTTTACCGAAAAACAAAGCGTGGGGTGCTTCTTAGATTTCATAGACCTGCTATTGACAATATTCAGTATTATTAAACTGTAAATGAAAAGTTCAAAACAATATCAAATCAAGCACCCCCCGTTTTGTTTTCCGGTAAAATTATTTTTACAGTCAATTACTTGAATACTATTTTAGGTTGGTTTTAAAAATTTAATTAAACCAAGTAAAGGAATTTCCTATTCCTCTTAAAGGAAATCTTATTTCTATAAATTATTTTCTACTTTTTAGTTCACATTGTAATAAAATAGATTTTTTAGTTTTTTTTAACTATAATTTAACATTTACTTTCACTTTACACATTACACTATTAGTTATTAGTTGTTTTATTCCTTTAGTTTAAACTAATTCATTGCAAATTATTAATTAAAATTGCTATGAAAATCACCCGTGCGCAAAATATCCACGAAGGATAAGAAATGTGTTCTCTGCAAAAGATGTTCAGACCCTCTTCTTCGGCAACACAGAAAGGAGAATTCTACTTAAAGGGGGTTATAATCAGGCCTGGGCGACGCCGACTGCGCAGTACCCTCGGGGAAGCGTCGCGTGTTCGTATACACGAAGTTGAAGGCGAAGACAACACCTGTCATCTGTGGTCATATTGTTTTAAATTTTAATCGTGTTTAAGTAGATTATTAACTTCTGTTAACCCGTTCCATCTGGATTTTAAGCTTTCATAAACGTAAGCAGCATCGAATACTTGGTTCCGGCTGTACAGCATCGAGAAACTGCAAGTAAGTGGAAAAGGCGCTCCAATTGCATCAATTTGCAAAACAAATAAGGCTTCGAGCGGTATACCAACAACTCTGCCTTACACGCTCACAAGCTGTTTTTCGGAAAAGGTTCGTGACTTTGCTAATATCTGCTAAGCTTCGAGTACAGCGCCACCTGTAGGCCCGAATCATAACTCACCAATTCATAAAACTGTGTTGCCAGCATACGTTTTCTACGATGTTCTCAAATCATTTCAATTAGAATGGCAGCTGGAGCTGGCAAGCGAGGCCGCGAAAATAACCCCACGGAACTGGAACCTGCGAAAACTCCGAGGATATCTGTGTCTTCACCGAATTTACTGCGAAACATGGACCAACGTCTCGCGAAATTAAATGACCAGCTCGCAAAACAAATTCAGGAATCCGAGCATAGAATTATCGAGCTTTTCGGCAAAAAGTTCGAAGAGATATTCTACGGTATCATGGATGACCTGAACGCTGTAAATGATAGAGTCACACGCGGCGTTCGGTCATATTGGTGTTCTCGAAGACGAGCTTGCTGCTTTAAAAACACAAGTTTCCAGACAAGAAAGTATCATTCCCGCTTGCTCGTGTAACGGGGATGCCGCATGAGGAAGGTGAAAACTTGCAAAGCATTTTCCATTACCTCTGCTTTTCATTGGACACTCAACCACCTCCCATTAAAAGCATTTATCGGACTAGGAAAACTGAAAACTCCTCAACTGGCCCTGCCATAATTATTGAGTTTAATACTGCCACAGACCAGAACGGTTTGCTTAAAACCATATCAAATTTTAGACGTACAAACAAGAAACCGCCGCAGCTTACACTCGTGGGTATTAGCTCGGACGCCCCCTTCTATGTTAATGAGTCTTTGAGTAAACATAACCACGAAATATTTAAATCTGCTTTCCATCTGAGAAAGCGGAAAAAAGTTGTCGCCGTTTTTACAAAACGGGGGATGGTCCACATCAAACGGTTGGGCAGTGATAGGCCGCAAGCTATATATACCATGGGCGACCTTTGCAATCTAGAAAACACCAGTCGTGCCGCCGTAATGGAACATTCCTTTCATGACGCCAGAGCCGAAGAACATAGCAGCATATCAACGCAACAAACTTCAACTTGAATGCGGAATTTGTATGCTGTCACTAACTAATTTGTGTTTTATATTTTTAAATATTGTCTTCGTCTTTTGTCACGATCTTTCTTTTGCCTTTTACTTACACAAATCTTGTAAATGTTACGGGTTTCCTTCATTGCTTAACTTTTTAGAACCTAGATGCAGTGCCATAATTAACTTACACACGTTTTATAATGTCGCACTTAGCCTTTAAGCGTACGAGTTCCAAAGACTGTTTATACAGCATGCTGCGTATTATTAGCAAGCGTGCACAGGCTTTAAGATAGTACATTTGAATGCGCAAAGTTTGTTTAAAAAACTCGACGAATTTATATATCTCATCGAAAATTCAGATATTCATGTTGTGTGTATATCCGAAACGTGGTTTTCCTCGCACCACAACAATAATATTCTGCGTGTAAATGGTTATCAACTTTTTAGAGCTGATAGGCATGGTCATGGTGGAGGTGTAGCAATATATGTAAAAAATGGTCTGTCTTGCAAACTAAATTGTGTATCGTCTTGTGGTGCTTTGGTCGAATATGTGTTCGTTGACGTATGTTTATTTATTTATTTATTCATGCAATAGTAATCTAGCTCAATAAAGTTGCTTACAGACTACATAGAGATAAAATATATCATACATTAAATCTAGCTTCATTTAACAATAGTTTGAAAGCGGGCTTAGACATAGAAAAATCTATGGCTAAAGAACTTGAGAGAACATTGAATTCTTTCAAAGCTCTAAAGATTGGAGCGTTAGAAGCATAGAGAGTACGGATACGTTCATTATAAAAAATATCAGTATTACGAAGGGTTCTGTTAGGAATATGGAAGCAAATGCATTCGAGTAAATACGGTGAATCAATCACACCATTAATTATGTGAAAGACAAAGGTGAGCGAGAGAATTGTTCTCCTGCATTTAAGAGATTTCAAATTTACTAGTGCACATCTAGCTCTATAAGGCGGAATTGGGTCGTCGAAATTCAATGATCGGAGCGCAAAGCGCAAAAACGTTTTTTCAACCCGCTCGAGCCTATTAATGTGGCTCTCATAATAAGGTATCCAAATAAAGCAAGCATATTCCAGCTTGGAGCGTACAAGCGACGTGAACAACAGCTTTAACGTGTAGGGATCCGTGAAATCAGAGCTAAAACGGCGAATAATAGCAAGCACTGAGTACGATTTAGCAATGGTGTAATTTAGGTGACTATGAAATAAAAATTTCGAGTCAAAGACTACACCTAGGTCATTTAACTCGTTACTAGTGGATAGTCGAGTACCATCAATATAGTATGAAGTAGGGGTTATACAATGAAATTTGGAGAATGATAGGTGGAAACATTTGCTTATATTTAGCTGTAAGCCGTTGGTACGACACCAAGCTGAGACATTTTCCAAGTCAAACTGAATCTTGACGGAATCAGAGGAGTTTGCAATAGTGGAGAAGATCTTCAAATCATCAGCATATAAAAGAAACTTGGAGTGCATAAAACACGA